GGTGAAGGCAGGAGATATAGCCTGTTGAAGGAGGTGTGTCACTGGGGTGGGGGAGGTTTAAAACCCTAGCCATTCCCAGTGTGCTCTTGCTCTGCCTCCTACTTTTAGATCAAGATGTGGGCTCTCAGCTGACCAGCCACCAAGCCTTTGCGCCACCATCCTGGACTCTAGCCCTCTGAAACTCTTAAGTCCCAAATAAACGCTTTCTTCTATAAGTTGCCTAAGTCATGGTGTCTTATCATAGCAACAGGAAAGTAACCAAGACACCATGCAAATGGGGACACGTGTGGGTTTTGTTGTTGTTGTTGTTTTAAAGAATGGTTTCATGCACACTCCTACAATTACCAGGAGTTTAGCTTTTCTTTTTCCTCTCTCTACCCTGCACTGCTCCCCTTTCCTTTCCGTCCTTTTTGCTCTTCATTCCTAGTGGGACTTGAACCCGGGGCCCATGCTGGGCAATTACTCCATCACTGAGCTCTACCCCAGTCTTTGTATTTATTTATTTATTTATTTATTTATTTATTTATTTATTTATTTATTTATTTATTTATTTATTTATTTTTTATTTTGAGATGGTCTCACTAAGTTCCTAAGGCTGCTTTGAACTGTAGCCTGGGTGGGACTTGAACTTGTCATCCTCCTGCACTGGCCTCCCAAGCTGGTCTTATAGGCTGTTTTCACATTATATTGAAACTTAGATGGTCTTTTAATAAAAAACCCAGGGCAAGATATTGGGGTATATTCTGAAAGATCAGAGAGACAGAACAAGCCACAGCCAACCTCACCTCGCCAGCTCCTCAGCTGATCTTGTTTCCTCAGACTGAAAGCCTCTGAGTCCTCACCTGAATGGATCTCAGCTGAACTGCTGCTAAAAGGTTCTAGTTCCTGGTCCTCATGCCCTATATACCTTTATCCTATTTTGGTGAATCCAATACAAAATTTGTATACAATATACAAAAATCCAATCCAATGAAAATATTTAAAACTAGTAGTTGCTTTCTAAAAGTAGATTCAATAATCTACCTTTTTATCTTATCATATCCATATTCTCTCTTTTTTCTTTTCAGAGTAGATTTAGTAATCTATCTTTTATCCTGTTATTTCTATAGCTCTTCTTTTTATTTTCAGAGTAGATTCGATAATCTACCTTTTATCTATATTCTCTTTTTTCTTTTTCTTCTTTGTTTTTCAATCTTGTTTAGCTTTTTTTTTTCAATCCTTGTTTAGCTTTTTTTCCCCTGACCATTATTAATTAACAACTTGTAACCAACTAGCCTAAACAATGACAATTATCCATAACCCACTGAATGACCAAAAACCACCTATCCCACCTCTTGGGAATGTGGGGATCATTTTCTTAAAATTACTTTCTGCTGTCTGGGGGCAAAGGCATCTTTATGGAATCCTGAACAGAAAATTTTTAGGTTGTCAAGTCCTGGGAGAGTTATCTGTATCATTTATTGTCCAGTCTCTGCATAATGTGAAAGTGCAGGGCTTATCTCAAGTCCTTGATTGAGTAGTCTGTGAGGCTGGATCATCTCCAAATTGTCCTGAGCAGTTTGTAGTCCAAAGCCGATCTTTGGGTGGTGTTTCTTGTCAGCTTATTGGTATTATCGTCATCCTGATGGAATCATCCTTGTGGACATCTCAGCTAGCCATCTTGAAATTGCCTTGAGCAGTTTGTAGTCCAAAGCCGGTCTTTGGGTGCTGTTAATCAGCTTAATGGCTTTATTATCATAGTCCATGTGGAATCATCATTGTAGGATCCCATCCTCTTTTCAGAGATTTCAAAGTCACTGTTAGGAGGGTCACGGTTCCCTGCAGATTTTTTTTTTTTTTTTTTTGTGCCTACTCTCTGGTTTGGAGCGATATCTGTGGTATCTCACAGCTGTATCTCAGTTGTATCTCATAGCCGGTCCCAAGTTTGCAATACAACAGGCAACAGGTTCCATTCTTCTTCACCAAGATATTCTTTGATTTCAAATCTCTGTGAGCAATCGCTGGCTTTCCTTGGGTACCAAAAGATCTCCACGTGAAGATGGGCAAGACCACTTGTCACGGACAGAGCGAGTGTGATCAACCCTTCCACTGTACAGTGTATCCATTCAAGTAATCAAAAAGGGATCCACGCCCATGGTAATCGGACACCAGCCACAGCTGAGTCCATGGGCCATTGTCTCTGTTGTCTGCTGCTATAAATCCTAGGATGTTTTCATGGTGTAACATCACAGTCTGATAAATCTCTGCCTCTCAGAACCACAAACGTTATTCCCTAGAAGAGAAGATCTTCACAGCAACTTCTCATGGCCAGTTGCCTCACCAAACTTCTCCGGACCAACCTTACCTTTGCCAATGCTCTCTTGCAACACGATGGTCCCAGCAATTGTTCTCTGAACCAGCAGCGGTAACCCCTTCATCCCCTGCAGCAGCATCACCACAGTCACCAACACGATGGGAAGCAGCTGGTAATTCAGAGCAGCAGCTGCCAACGCCATGGTCCCGCCACCACCGTGTGTGGCCTGGCCTGGCCCCGGCCGCAGCTTCTCCTCAGCAAGCCTCCAAGGCTGGCCTTGAATTCGGAATCCTCCTGTCTCTGCCTCCTTCAGCAAATCCTACAGGTGTGCACCACCACAACTGACCTCGTGCAGCTCGGGTGGGCCTGAGCTCGGGCCTGCAAGGCCAGAGGCAAGTGGCTTTTTCATGAATTTGTGCCACAAATGTTGAGCGCCAAATGTAACACGAATTGCTAACCGGTCTTATTAATAAAAAAAAAAAAACCGGAGCCAGATATTGGGGTGAAAACTGAGAGATTGGAGGAATGGAACAAGCCACAGCCAACCTCACCTTACCAACTCCTCAGCCTCCAGAGAGAGCTACTTCCTGTATACTCACGCCTCTATATCTTTCTGTGCCCTGCCATCTTACTTCCTCTCTGCCCAGCTACATCACTTCTTTCCACCCAGCTCTATCATGTCCTGTCTGTCTGTACAGACCTCCAGGCCTCTATGGTTAACTAGTGCTGGGATTAATGGTGTGTGCCACCATGCCTGGGCCTGTTCCCAGTGTGGCCTTGAACTCACAGAGATCCAGATGAATCTCTGCCTCTTGAATGCTAGGATTAAAAGTGTATGTTACCACTGGCTGACCTCTATATTTAATATATCGGCTGGCTTTTCCCTCTGATCCCCAGATAAGCTTTATTGGGGTGCAGAAATAAAATATCACATCGCATCAACTGTGAGTGCTGTGAATGCGGTTGTGGCTGTTGAGGTGGGTCTAGATGGCCTGTCTGAAGCAGAGTTCTATACTGTGAATGTCCCTGTTCCCCCCAGTCCCCATCACTTGCCCAGTAAAGGCTTGGGGAAAATGTGATTTGAGTATAGCCCACTTGGGAAACTTGAAGCTCTGCTTCTGTTCCCCTGGGGTGGAGTAGTCACACAGCTCATTTGGAAGTCTTGCAATAGACTTGCCCCTTATCCTCACTGATGAGTTCACCGGCTGTTTCTATCCGATGCACTCACTGGATACTTACATTCCTCTCCTCCAACCACTGACCTTACCATCATCTCCAGAGTTTGGCTTTCCCCAGAATGTTAGATTGTTGGAATCAAAGCATTCACCTTTCCAGATTGGTTTTGTTTTGTTTTTCAAGACAGGGTTTCTTTGTGTAGCCCTGGCTGTCCTAGAACTCGCTTTGTAGACTAGGCTGGCCTCGGACTCACAGAGATCAGCCTGCCTCTGCCTCCTGAGTGCTGGGATTAAAGGCGTGCACCACCGCTGTATGGCCCACATTGGTTTCTTTTACTTAGTAAGATGCATTTATTTTTCCTCCATGTTTTTTCAAGGCTTACTATTGAATTAAAAAAACAAAAACCTTAAATTATGGTAAAAATGTATGCAAAATTTATGTAAAATGTACAAATTACAAATGTAATTTGGCCATTTTAAATAGTATTATTCAGCAGTGTTAGGAACATTCAGTGTTGTGTAACCAATCTCCAAAACTATTCTCACTTTGCAAAACTCAAGCTCTACGTCTATTAAACAACTCCACCCTACCCTCTCCAAGCTCCCACTTTGTCTGTCAGTTTTATTATTATAGGTACATCAAGGTGGAATTATTCAGTATTTTATGTTGTAGCTCGTGTATTCAATTTAGCATGATTTCCTTAAGTTTTCCCCCAGTCGTAACGAGTCACATTTCCAGGACTCATCAGCAAGGAGCAGCAGTGATGGGAACAATGTGGTCAAGTTAGGAAAACCAGGGCAAGGCTTCGTGACAGCCCAAAATGTCTCCAAGGTGCTAACAGAAGCTGGTTTTGTAGGAAAGGGAGACAAAGGAGGGTGGAGCTGGCTTCCGGGTGGACCAGTGGTCCGACTCATCTCCTTGGGTCTGGTTCTGCAAAGGGATCTGGCAAAGCTGTATCACGGTCACCACTGAATGGAGCCATTTCCAGGAGACAGTCTTGCTCTGAGGGCAGCAGGCGGGGTGATTGTTCCCATGGGGGGGGGGGTGATCTGTCCTGTTAGACTTGGAGTCCCTGGCCATGAAGACATCTGTCAAGCTGAACTAAGAGTAGCTGGGGAGGGGGCAGTAAATAAAGAACCAGAGGAGGGAAAAATGGAATTGGTCAGGCTAGTGATGGACATCCTTCATCTCCATTATGGCAGTACAAATATCTTAAGAAATTCCTTTCAATGCTTTTTGATTATTTACTTAGAAGTACAAAACTGATTTTATTAAATTTTAAATTTCCTGAGAAATGGCCATATTGCTTTTCAAAGTGGTTATATCCATTTTGAATTAATTACACAAGATCTCCAGTTTCCCTACATCCTCATACAAGCATAAGTAATTTTACACACACACACACACACACACACACACACACACACACAGAGAGAGGGGGGGGGATTCTTTTAAAAATATTTTAAAAACGCTTGAATGGAAAGTTTCGCTTACACCACCCTTCAAATAAAAGAACAGCGAAAGCACAAAAAATGTTACAAAAACGACATTTACTCTGCAACTTTATCATAATGAATTGCATCTCTTTGGTAAAAATAAACTTTATAAACATTTTAATAGTCAGAGATTAGATACAAAAACTAAACATTTGTAAGTCGTCTTACTATGAGCGAAGACTGGGAAGTGTGAAGCGGCTCACTTATGGCTGGTCATCTATTGGCAGTTAAACCCAGAAGTTTCTACGCTACATCAGAAAAGATGAAACAATTTAATAACAAATTTCTTTAATCAAAAAGTATTCTTATACTTTTGTTTAAAAATAAATAAGTTACAATGAATTGGCAATTATACATTTTATACACTATACGATGGCAACATAATACTTTAAAATGTAGCACTTTGTTTAATAAAAAGGTACAATTTTGAAAACAAGTTTGACAATGGCACTGGCAGTTAGATGCAAAGAATGTTCTTGAAAATGGCAGGTATAACATTAAAATACTCTATTTTGCCTTTCAATAAATATTTGACTACATCATTAACACACTGGAGTAAACTTTAAGGAAAAAAAAAAAACAAAAAACCAAACCCTATGACACATATGTAAACTGGAAAGCCTCAGAAGCCGCTTTAGAAAATGCTAGTTTCCCCAGGGTGTTAACTAGACTTCTATTTTGGATAACAGTCTTGCGGCTTTGTGGAACACCCCCACCTGCAGCCCGAGCTGATACGAAAGGCCTCCCAGTTACAAAGACGCAGACATTCCCCTAACACTCGCTCTAGCTTTGAACTGCGCTAACGTGCATTTAACTGACCATCTAGTATGAACCCTTTACAAATGCCTCAGAAAACAGTGGAAAAGAAAAAAAACCCACACATATGCTGAACTTCACAATACACAAAGGAACCTACGTTAGGAGAGGTCATGCTGGTCTGAGAACAGGCAAGGGTCCCAGGCAGGAAGGGGTGACACACCCCTTGCTTTTCTACCCATCTAGGCAATGTTTTCATTCTCAATGAGAAAGCAAAAGATCAACTAATTTAGTAAGATATTGCACAAACAAATTTCAAAGATTACTCAAGAAACACTGATTCTCTTGGCGATGTAGAAAATAAAGATAATAAATAGTGCCAAGACACAGCTTTTCCTAGGGACCCTTTAAAACTGGAACTGGTGGCAACAAAATTCGTATTTTGATTGAAGACAAGTATACCTTAGCTAAAACAAGTTTAATATGTTGAAACATGTTGTTGTCCCTGGATTCTAGGTTGTGTTTAATACACAAAGTGTGTTCATTATTGGGAATTTCCGGTCCGTGAGGTTCAGAACGACTTCCTTAACTGGAAGCTTCCAGCTCTGTCTCTCTCTGAGCACTCCAAGCAGGAGTGTGATCCCCGAGAACATCACAAGGGGCCAGAATGAAGAAGGCTCTCCCCTTGAGATGGATGCGTGGACACAACAGCACGTGGAAAGTGAGACACTGAATTCCATACCAGAACTAAGTGCAAACTGTTAGGGACCCCTGCTGTTGGTGCACGGGCAGGTGTTACCCTTGCTAATGGCTCTAGCTTTAAGTAAGAGTCCACTGAAGAGGGAAAGGAAATCAAGGAACTCTGAATGCCTGACAGGCATTCTGAAGAGGTCTCTTAGAGCTCCGAGTAACTCCTTCCTCCTACTTCAGATATTTCCTCTCACACAACAGCTAATGGACAGCAACTTAGAGAAACACTTGTGGTAGCCAATTTCAGAACAGAATGCAATGAACTGGACCCTGGACGCTGCAGGCCAATCCAGAGGGCCGTGGTGATTAGCTTCAAACTAGTATGCTGTTCAGCCAACCTTTCTAACCTCTCTAGGAGCTACACCATGGTCAAACCACTTTTATTTGGTGTTTTATTCACCGTAGTAAAAGACTAACTTCACTTAGCTCTTTTCTGGAGAGAGAACATTTATGAGTGAGAAAAACTTCAAATTCTTCAACCTGCATTATGAATGAAAGAGGAAAAGTCTGTATTTTAGTAGCACCCATTCCATTAATGCGGCTATCCAGATTTAATCACAGCTAGCATGGACACAGGAGTGTACCAATGCTGTTATAGGTTAAAGTGTGGTCAATTAAGAAACATGCCGTAGTTTTTCTTCTCGTTTGACAGTGTTGCCAAAATAAAATTTATAAGTAAAAATTAAAACATTTGTCTCTTTAAAAAAATCCAAGAAAATGCTTTATAGTCCTAGAAACATTTGAAAGCAGGAAACTAACCTGAGCCTGTGTATGTGTGCATACAGCAAGTGTGTATACGCATATAAATGAGAAAACTGCCAACAAGGTCACTGTCTGGGATACAGGATGTATCATGAAATAAGACTCAACTTTCCCAAAGTTTCTCCCACCACTGTAAAAAAATATATTTGTGAGTTACAGTATTAGTATCCCTGTTCTGAATACTATAGTCAAACTGTAAGTGATATGAAAACTGTCTCATAGAAGCAGTTTTGTTCAAATACTTAAAATACCTTAGCCAATGCACTTTTGGAATAGTAATATAAAATCTTTTAGCATAGATTAATGGCACATATAGGTATTACATTGCCTCTCAAAAAGTTTTGTGTAAGACCTAATTTTTATACGTATTTTGAAATCCCTGAAGATATTTATCTCTACAGTTTCCTATCAAGTATTTTAAATCTAATTCATTATACATATAATTTTAATTTACACAAAGCTTGGAAAGTTTTGCCCTCAATGACCTAGCTTCACAGTATTTCATTACACTATGTTTAGAAAGCAAATGCAAGATTCTCTCTCTGTCAAAGTGTGTAAAGATGGATGTTATCCCACGACACACTCTGGCTGAATCCTCTTGCTGGACGATTTTTACTTAACAAAGACAGCTAGCAGCTAAAACTTAAACACACTTGCAAAGTACTCCAGAAAGGGTAAAGGCCCCAGGGATGCTATGCATTAACTGTGAGGTAAAAACATTTCAAAGATACTATTGCAATAGGAATTGGAGTCTTGAGATGAGCCACACCCCCAAATGGCCTTTCCTAAATCTTAGAACTGGATTCTCTACAAACCAGAGAAACTTCTAGGCATCTAGGGTCTTTCCCATTTATATTTGGCCATGCTCATGCTGCAGAAAGAATAACTTAAAACAAGCATAAGACAAAAGATACACATTTCATCTCTGGATTGTGTCAGGAGAGAAGCACATGAGAAAGACGCCAGCATCTGCTTAGCTACATAAGTAACTACATTTAATTACAGAATGGGAAGAAAAATGAAATACTGAGTTACCAATTCTTATATTTTTGACCAATTAACAAAAGAGATTGATTTTTTTTTTCCCTACAAGTTTAAGACAGAGGTTGAGAATTTTCTTATACAAAAATTTTCCAAATCTGGGAGACACTTATTCACAGAAACTATGTTTTGGGGCCTTTATATCAGATTTACAATTAGGCATGATCCTAAGAGCAACTGTTTAATTTAACAAAACAAAAAAGAAAGCAACCAAGAAATATCTAGAAAGAAACAAGTGGCACTCCTCGCCAACCCTCAAGCTAAAGAGGTCCGCTATGGCTCTGATATCCCTTGTGAAGAGTTTAGTAGGAGAGTATTGCCACACTTTAAAGTAACTTCACACTAGTAAGCATTTCTACTTCTTCCGGTGTTTCTGACTTTGTGCCTTTGCAGTACTTATGAGGGAACCAAGGCAGGTACGGATTCCAGCCAGGTGGAGCAGCGACCCTGCTGCTTCTTTGAGCTCCTCATCAATTTCCTGACAGGACTGTTTTCGTATCTTTTTGCCTGGCTGTCCTTTCGGAGCACTGTCCTCATGAGCCTGTGGGGCATAGCCACTGTCTCCAAGAGGATCGTCCTCATCGTCGGCATCGCTGTCTTCCTCACTGTGGAAGCCCTCGCTGCCGTCACTGCCCACATGGCTACTCTTTGGGATGAACTCAAACACCTCCTCCACAGAGGACAGGGAAGACACGCTAGCCCTGGACGCGCAGCGCTGAGCTGCCATGCTGCTGGCACTGTAATTGTGGTCGGCTTTCGGGTCGATGCTGGCGGCTGGGGAGTGGCTCTCCGGCAGTCCCCCCGCGCTGGGGGCACTGAAGGCGCTGCTGTAGGCCCTCTTCTTCTGCAGCGAGGTTTTCAGAGGCAGCGGCTTCTCACCTGTGGAAACGGAACTTGTATCAGCAAGTCAGAGTATCTGACTGCAAACACAGACCCCCCCCAAACTCCCACTTTTGAGGAATAAGAGCTCGTAGTTAGTAGTTTTGTAGGATTCCCCCATGTATTATTCTATCTACAGGCATTAATGTGAAACATCTAAAAACCATTTGAAAGGTAGCCTGACTTTTATGGGACATAAAAGTTACTTTGTACTCTTTGCAAAGAGTGTCTCCACGCGACTTCACCACTGCCTGACAATTTCCTTTGGGTGTTGACCTTGTCCCCAGTTTGTACTGGCACAAGTAAGGCTTCAGCAATGAAGTTGGTGGATACCCTCCCCACAAGCTCACACACTCACACACACTTCCTGGGGGGGTGGTAAGAAATGTAAGGGCTGAATAAAAGGGTAAGTGTATTTTAAATTTAAGTATGCTCAAATTACCCCTGGGGGCTGTAACAATTAACCAACAGTGTATGAAAAAACCCACTTTCGTACTACACTAGCCATCGTTTACATTTTGTTTCCTAAACTAAAGGCAGTATCTGAAACTTACTTTATATCTCCCCATACTTCTTTTGAGAGTCACTTTCATGTATTTTGCTGACTGTTCTGCTTTACTTTAAATTTTTTTTTTTTTTTTTTTTTTTTGGTTTTTCAAGACAGGGTTTCTCTATGTAGCTTTGCGCCTTTCCTGGAACTCACTTGGTAGCCCAGGCTGGCCTTGAACTCACAGAGATCCGCCTGCCTCTGCCTCCCGAGTGCTGGGATTAAAGGCGTGCGCCACCACTGCCCGGCACTTTAAAATGTTTTTATTTAAATATTTTTACTTCTCTCACATTCTTTCCTTTCTCTTAACTCCTTTCCACTCACCTACCCACATGGCCTTATATTCTTCCTCTCAAAGAATAAAAACAAAACACAAAAAACTGAAAATCAAAACAGACTAACTAAACCAAACAAATCCAATAAGAAAAAAATTAAATTAAAATAAACGATAAAAGCAGAACACTGCTCCGGGCCATGGGGCCCACGACTGGAATGAACAGACTTTCCTTTCCCAGCCGGTATTAACTGCACATAGCTTCTCAGTTATGGGTTTTTGTCTGTTTGAACATGTCCAGTCTTGAGCACACTGCCAGTCTCTGTAAGGTCATGTCCACAACTGTATTGCTGTCCAGAAAACACGTCTTTCCACTACCTCTGGCTCAAACCCTCTGCTTCCTCTTCCACACAGACCCGGACCCGAGTGGCAGGCAGACTAGTGTGGCGCATGATATTAATCTTTTATCTATTATACATAGTTAAAAATTCTTCCAGTATTCTGCACTACTTATCTTATTTTTTTTTTTTTTGTGTTGCTTGAAGTCAAACTTGCCCAGGGCCTTGCATGTTAGACAAGCCTTCTAACACATGCTGAAGTCCCCAGCCTCCTAGCTTCTTATTTATTTCATTGTTTGGAGACAAGGTCGTATGTATCCCAGGCTGGTATCAAATTTGCTATCTAGTCAAGGGTGATCCTGAACTTCTGGTCTTCTTACTCTACTACCCAGTGCTGGGATTATACTCACCAATCAAAGAACTTTAATGAAATCTGTCCATCTTTTCCTCATGCAAGTTTCCTTTGCAATTTATATCTTGGCTCTTTTCCTATTCCAAACTCTAAACATCCTTCAAAAATTATTTTGTGTCACTATATAAACTAGCGGAGACACATGAACTGTGGACCAACAGCCGAGAAGCCCCCATGGAACTGGACTGGGCCCTCTGGATAAGCGAGACAGTTGTTTAGCTTGAACTGTATAGGGGGCCCCCAGGTAGTGGGATCAGAACCTGTCCCTAGTGAATGAGCTGCATTCTTGAAACCTAGTACCTATGGTGAGACACTTTGCTCAGCCTTGGTGCAGGGAGGAGGGACTCAAACCTGCCTCAACTGAATGTACCAGGTTCTGCTGACTCCCCATGGGAGACCTTGCCTTGTAGGAGGTGGGAATGGGGGATGGGTTGGGGGAAGACTCGGGGGACGGGAGGAGGGAGGCCAGGGGAATCTTTGGTTGGTATGTAAAATGAATAGAAAATCTCTTAATAAAAAAATTTTATTAAAAAAAATTATTTTGTGTCTGTGCACCTGGGCCTGTGTACGGAGTCAGAGGACAAGCCCTGAGAATCAGGTCTTCCCTTCTACCACCCAGGTCCCAGGAATGGAACTAAGATCAGACTTGGTGGCAATCATGTTTACCCACAGGGCCATCCCCCAGCCCAAATGGTAAATGTCTTTCCCATGGAGTCTTTGTAGCTTTCATCTTCCTTTTTAGCCTCTCAAGCTTACTTCTGAAAAGCATTTCCCCTCCATTTCTTGATCAACACAACAATCTCCCACAGCCTTAACTTCATTGTTTTCAAATGATTATATAAATGTTAATACAATACAACAGAAACTGAGTCATTCAGATTAAAACACAATTTAGTGGAAAAGAAGTAATTCTGCTATGACATGTAGTCATCTTGTATTTTAAAAGCATTAGTTTGAAAAGGCACTTACAAGACTGATTTTAAAAGAAAAGGATGGTTGCTTACATTCTAGAATCTCTTGTTCTATTGAAGTATTCAGAAGTATCATCGCAGTGGCAGCGTCAATATCAGATTCTGGAAAGAGAGAAGAGTGGAGCATTAATATCCAAGATGTCAGCATTAGGACTAAGGTGGCCTGAAGTCATGACATGAGCCTTCAATCCCAGCATTTAGGAAGCAGAGGCAGATCCCTGTGAGTCCAAAACCAACCTGGGGCTGGAGATATGGCTCAGCAGTTAAAGGCTAGGCTCACAACCAAAAAACAAAACAGTTCTTGCCGATAATTTTTGAACAAGTATTTCATTTTCTGTGTATTAGTGTTTTGCCTATACGATGTCCAACACTTATGTGTCTGATGTCTGCAGAGGCTGTCACAAGTGTCTCAAAAAATATCCCCCTCCCCCCAAATTATCGCATGGTCTGGAACTTGCTAAGTAGGCTAGCCGATTGGTAAGGCAGCCCAGTAATCCCACCTGCCCCTCCCTAGAACTTGAATTACAAGCGCCTGGCTTTTCCCCATGGGTTCTGGGGCTCAGGCTCCAGTCCCTGTAAGAAAGTACCTTGCAGACTGAGCTCTCTCTCTCTTCCAGCCCCAGCATTATACATTCTGTCTGTCTGTCTGGAGACAGGACCTCACTATATATATCACACAGGCTAGCCTAAGAATCCTGATCCTCTGCCTCCGGAGTTTAGAATTAAGATGTATGCATGCATGCCTCTACACAGGGTTTACAGAATGACCTCAAGCTGGGTATTCTAACAGGGGCACAAGAACCATGAACTCCAGACTAGACAGGGATACAATGAGAAATCTTGTCTCAAAAATGCATAAACAGGACCTGGAGACAGCTCAGAAGGTAAAGGTGCTTGCTGCCAAGTCTGACTAGCTGAGCCACATCACAGGACCCCACATGGTAAGGAGAGAAGCAACTTGTGCAAGCTGTTCTCCGACCGTGCCCATGAATATACACCACATACTAACACATGTGGTGACTACAAGACTCTACTTCAGATAAAGACACCAGGCTGTCACATGTACGTTTTTCTTCCTCTTGTTGATAGTAGTCCAAATAACTATTTGAAGAAACAAATAAAATGGTGCAAGCAATGATTATAAACTTAAGCTTAAAAAATAAAAGAAGATCTAGATATGAAGTTTCCATTCACTGTCTCTTAAAACTGGAAACGTTTATATTACAAAGTTTTCCACTTTACCTTACTTCCTATTACTCCAGACAATGAACCTTGAAGATGCTGACTTGTGTACACCCCAACATGACTGCAAATGCTCTTAGGTTAGGCAGTGTTACTGGGGTTTTGTTGTTACTTGTTTGGGGAGACAAGTCTATACATCCCAGGCTGGCCTTCAAATGCGTTCCTCCAGCCTCAACTTCCTCAGCACTGAGGATTAAAGACATGAACCATGAGACCAGGCCTATATCACCACCTTGGGTCCCCCCCCACCCCCCCACCCCCGAGACAGGGTTTCTCTGTGTAGCTTTGCGCCTTTCCTGGAACTCACTTGGTAGCCCAGGCTGGCTCGAACTCACAGAGATCCGCCTGCCTCTGCCTCCCAAGTGCTGAGATTAAAGGCGTGCGCCACCACCGCCCAGCTCACCTTGGGTTTTAATAACAAGTTCATGTATATCTCACATGTCAGATACTACAGTATTTGCCTGTAATTCCAGCATTACAGAAAATTCCAAAGACAGAAAAAATGAGTTCTAGGTCAGCCTGGCTTATCTCACACAAAGATCTTATTAAAAAAAATAAACAGAAGGGCTCCCTAAAAATCAGGTGGGATGGCGGCTGGAGAGATGGCTCAGAGGTTAAAAGCACTAGCTGCTCTTCCAGAGGTTCTGAGTTCAATTCCCAGCAACCACATGGTGGTTCATAACCATCTATGATATCTGGTTCCCTCTTCTGTCATGCAGGCAGAATACTGTATACATAATAAATAAATAAAATCAGGTGGGATTTGTATTTCAGCAATGGGCCTCTGGAATGCAAGTGTTCAAGGACCAGCACTCCTCCTTAGTATTTAGTAAGCATCCAGGATTACAGTGAAAATTGTAGAAAATAATCAGAATACAATGTAGTCTCCATTCTGTTATTCATCTAGTAAGTTGAATGCCCTACTGTGAACCTAACATTATTCCAGACTGAAAAAAATAGCAGAAAAAAAGAAACTGCCATCTCTCAGAATATAAAGAAACAATTAGAACATTAAGGCAGTGATAAGTATGAAGGGAAAAAAGCAGAGAAGGTAATGGTTGGATGAAGGGCTCAGGGGAATGTCCAAAGGAAAAGCACAGAATGAACTGATAAGTCATGGTCACAACAGAGAGGCTGGACATACAGAGGTCTTCAGCCTCTTGAGACTTGAGACAATTAGAATGAGTCCATCACGCTTTTGAAAAAACAAAAAACCCGCAGCTACTACATGTTGTCATACTGTGAAATGGAAAAGGCAAGCAGTTCTTTCTCCAAGTGAATGTTCCCAACTGTGGAAACAGCTAAGAGAGTGGTCGGTGGACTGGATTTCGAACCCCACTCATGCCCAGCCAAGGGTCCTGACACAACTCACAACTTCGCAGGACTACTATTCCATACATACTTCTTCTCTCCCTTAGAGAGGATTTAATCTTGTTCCCAATTTTATTTAAAAGGGAGGGGGGTAGTGAGAGAATCTAACAAGGAAAATTAGAGATTTTTATCATCTATGACTAAAACACCCAAAACGCTTCTCATTTAAAGTTAGTGTGTATTTGTATTCCTCTTTAAAAAGATTTTTTATTATGTATGCACATGTGTGCAAGGTGCCTGCCGAGAGGCTAGCAGAGGTGCTGATCCTTAGAGCTGGAGTTTCTGGCACCTGTGAGCTTGGGTGATGGAAAGTAAGCTTGAAACAAGAGCAGCAAGCACTCTGTAAGAAAATCACACTGCTGATTTCATAACTGAGTCAAATAGCGATCCATCCAAACAGTTCATTTCCTTCCTCTATTCCCCTCCCTTCTTTATGTTTCTGAAACAGCATTACTCTACAGCCCTAGCTAACTTCAACTGTTCAGCAATCCTCCAATTAGAAGATTCCAAGCATAAGCCACTTTGCCTGGCCACACCGCTAACTTCAACCTCTTGATTTATGTGTCCTTACTCTTGATCTTGGAATATTATTAGAAAATTTAAAAAAAACCTAGAATACAAATTTTAATTCAAGAGCCAAAACAAACATGTTCCTAGTGACTGATTCTCAGTTGATATGCTTAAATAATATGAGAACAACCAGTCATATTTAAATGGCTCTGAGCTTAGTAATAATTATAAAAGAATTTACTTCCTCTATCAAAAGGAACACATACATTTACAAGTTATCCAAAAGGAGAAGCTGCCTCTTAGAATTCTTTAAGCAAGGCAGCAATTCATTAGAATTATCAATATTTTAATCCATCTAGTCTACTGGTTTACTTTCATTTAAAAATATGCTAACCTGCAACTATAAACTTGTAATTAGATGTGTAGTTAACTTTTAACGTGACCATCAACTGTTAAATTACGTATCTATGTGCAGTGCCCCAAGTGTTTTAGGAAAACAGACGGTGAAGCTTGGTAACCGGATGAGTTCACTTCTGTTTGCCGCGCTGTCCTGGTGTGCTCAGCAGCACTTTTCACTGTCCTGGTCCAGCTTTGCTGATGATAGCAGCTTCTCAAGTTCCCATAACTAACCTCTGCTCTTATGTGTCTAGTGGCAGCTGAAGAGCACGATCAGGAAAGTGATTCTATGGTGGGCGAGATGAATGTATTTTAATACTAGAGCCCCACAGGATGCATAAGTGATGTGTGTGAAACAAAACTAGTATTTTAGCCTCATTATTTGAAGATCTCTGGCAGCTTCTTCAGAGCCTCCCATCTTGTAGGAAGGAGCACAGGCCACAAGCTTCTAACTCCTGGATCCGAACCCTTCTATGCCACTTACCAGTTGTGTGACCTTGAGAAAGCTACTTAGATCTCTCTAAAGTTTACTCTCCTTGTTTGTTTAGTTTTTAAGGTATAGAAACATCTCAAAGGACCGAATGAGATCATGCTGCAGGCACTGTGGTGAGCACTGGAAGCAGCTGTTCCCACCCTCTGCCTCGGCTTCCCTTTGCCTTGTCCACAGGACACAAATAGGCACAGCTGCACGGTCCTCTCCTACACCTAGGCTGCAGTCACACTCACAGTATGCTTGCCAGGGGCCTAGCAATGAGCAGACAACTTTCTGAATGCTAGCACCCTGTCCTGTAACTAGCTCTGCACGTCCTGCATCGAGCCCTCATTCAGAGATCAAGCAGCCTCGCTATCTGTGAGGCTCAGCAGCTCGAGCATCAGTTCCTTTCTGAAGATGGAATACTGCATAAACTTGTGACCATTCTGCACAGGCTCACTCTTTTCTTTTCTCCTGTTTATTTGAGACAGGGTCTTTCTATATTAGACCTGTCTGTATTTGAACTCACTGAGATCTGCCTGCTTCTGCCAGGCACACACCTCCACGCCTGGTCTTCATTTCTTTCTTAAAAACAAAAAAACAAAAAAAGCCAAACTTTCTGCCCAGATTAATTTCAAACTTACTACCTCCTCCCTCTGCAGAATCCTGAAAGTCAACCTTCTTCAGTTAAACTATTTCTCTCTTTTCCCTTTCTCTTTTTTAGGGGCGGGGGTGTTGCTGGGAATCAAACCCAGGGCTCTTTGCATGTGAAACAAATATTCTACCACTAAACATCCGGGTGAAACATTTCTGGAAGCAGGTTGGCCTGAATCTTACCTTTGCAAATCTCAAGGCACCTTGGACAGTACCCAGCATGATGTAGGAACTCAATAATAACTCGTGATGAATGTTTGATTTACTTGGTTATTTTTCAAACCTCTCCAGAAACAATTTAAGGGAAAAGGGGAAGCAAACTTTTCAGTTTATAAATATGCCCTAACCAACCAAATTTAAATATAAACTTCGTCAAACTTTTAAAGGTTCTTCAGTTTTGCCTCTTAAAATTCAGGAGAATTCTGTGTTCAAGTCCAGAACCTGTCTAGAGCTGTTTCAATCTAGAATATCAACCCTCCTTACCCAAATCACTGTGGGCTAGGAAAACAGGCCTCATATCCTAAGCAAGGGATAAAGGAAGTTGCTGTGAGCAGCAGAGAAGAGACATGACGTGCAAGTCATCACAGGTCAGGACAGAAAAACAGGCTGGAACCAAGGAATGTCTCCACAGGAAGAAATCCAACGGGGATGGAATGAAACAAGAGCAAGAAAAGATTCTAAGAAATCTCAGAATTCACAAAGAGCATATCTCAGAATCTAGATGAAGTGAGCTTGAGGGTAAGATTCAGAAGTTACTTGGGATATAAAAACACAGAAGAGCTTCAGCAACCCCTAAGTAAAGAGAGATCCCATCTACCCTCACAAGTAACAGGAAACAGACGCTGGCTTCAGTGGAGGCAGAGTCACCAGAAACTGACCCCACCCACTAAATTTCTTTGCAAAGGTTTCTCCCTCTCTTATTTTCATAGGAAGCACAATGCCTCCAAAGCTCAGCTTTGTAAGCTTTCAAGAGCCAAAATAACTTACAACCCAAAGGCTTTCTTTCCTGTGAGGTTTTCATTTGTGAAGGACATGGAAATGTTAATTGAAACAACAACACTACAAACCTCATTAATTACCTATTAATTATGAGCAGGGAGAAAATCCACGACGTAAGAGTTGAGGGCTGGGGGTGTTACTCAGAGGTATGGAGTTTGCCAACATGCTTTAACACTCAGCACTTTTAGGAGAGAAACAACAAACTTTTGGATTTGTTCTTGTAACTATGATGCAAGCACAGTTAAGGACTTTCTGAATAGGACTCCAGTCACAAAGGAAATAAGACCAACAATCGACAAATGGGAACTCTCAAAATTAAACAACTCTGTCCACACAGCAGATAAAGCAATTGATTCTCAGTGAAGAAGACAGCCTACAGGATGGAGGAGGATCTTTTCTAGTAACACATGACAAATTAAGTAACAAACAACCAAATAAAAAAATGAGCCAAGGAAGGCTGGAAATCTAGTTCAGTTGGTACAATATTTACCTAGCATGAATGAAGCCCTGGATTTGATCCTCAGCACATCGGAACTTAGCATGGTGCATGCCTGTCTTCCTACTTTGGAGGTGGAAGTATAAGGATCAAGGTCATCCTTAACTACACAGCAAGTTAAAAGGCCAGCTGGGCTTCACGAAACCCTATCAGTACTTTTTTTTAAGACTGAGATTCCACCTGGCCAATGGCAAAGTGGCTGCAGAAACCAGTGACGGCAGATGGTGGTGGGCATGGAGAAAGTGCAACTGTTCTTCACTGGTGGTCAAGAGTACAAGGGAAACTGGTGTGGAAATGCCAAGACTAGATAGACTCCTATGACCAGCTCTTACACTCCTGGGTACATACCCAGAGGACTCCACGTTTCACTACCGAGATGCTTGTACATCACTGTTCACTGCTGCTGTATTCGCAATAGCAAAGCAACAGCATCACCTGGACGCCCACCAGCACATGAGTGGATAATGAAAATGTGGTACACATACACAACTCAGAAGTGCAGAAAATGGACGGAAGTGGAAAACACTCTTTTATTAAGTGAGGTCACCCAGGCTGAGAAAGATGAAAGAGAGCAGGTTTGCTAATTTTCGTGTATGCGTGTCGTCTACGTGAGGATGAGACGATGTAGATACTTAGACACTGGTAAGGACCCAGGGGAAGGTGAAACAGGGCTTACGAGAGAATGATAAAGATGGTAATGAACACACATGATATAGACATAGAAGGTGGATGAGCAGGGCACCTGGGAGGCAGAAGCTGGTGGGTCTCTGTGAGTTTGAGGCCAGCCTGGTCTAGAATTCCAGGCCAGCCAGGGCTACACAGAGTCTTTCTCAAATCATAAACAAAACCAAACAAACAAAGAAAGGGGGGCTACTGGGGATGGAAGAGTTTGGGTGGGGATGGGGGCGAAGGCGGGCAGAAGGGGTGAGGGGAGATCAACCAAAACCCACCGAAGAATGAAATACTATAAAAATTAGGGGAGGGGACAAACATAAAAACTCTTTTAAAAAGGTCAACCTATTAGTCTAAATTAGAGGGCTCCAGGCATAACCTATAAAAAACATTCTGAACTACACGCCAATAGCAAAGGGTCACAAGGCAAGTATTTTATGATTTGCAAACCAGGATGCAAAACCAAAGGCATAATATGTAGGTCTCTGCTGCAGCTAATCCCATGCGACGTGCCAGACACCGCATCTCAAAATATTAGTGTTAGTTGTATTTTTTCTTCAGCCATTTCATAAATGTAAAGTTACCATGGGCCACATAATAATCGGCAAAAGTAACTCCATGATGATATTACTTAGAAATTAAATTTGGTCGGATGGTGGTGGCGTACGCCTTTAATCTCAGCACTTGGGAGGCAGAGGCAGGAGGATCTCGGTGAGTTCGAGGCCAGCCTGGGCTACAGAGTGAGTTCCCAGGAAAGGCTCCAAAGCTACACAGAGAAACCCTGTCTCAAAAAAAACAAAAAAGAAAAAAAAAAAAAAAAGAAAAAAAGAAATTAAACGCAACTTTCAAGGAAAAATATATGTAAAGAGGAATTAATATAAGAGCAATGTAGAGGAACATAAAATACCCGTACATTATGAGTCACTGAAGAAAAACACGCACATATATACACTATACTAAATATTGGTAAGTGATGACTTTTCTCTACAGAAATTTATCTTCTACAATCCAAAGAGTCAGGATTCAGGAGGACAGTCTTCATACGTACCTTTAAGAGTTTGCACTTGACTTTGCTTCAGAACAGAGCTCAAGTAGTGAGGCGATAAAGAACCACTAAAAGACAGGGAGGAAAGACACATGTGCTTACAAGTCTCACAGAGCCCAGCCACAAATACATCTAGGATGTACCATAAAACCACAACAAACAAGTTTTACTTTGTTTTCTTTGCTAATAGCACTCAGTTTAGAAAGAGCTACTAAAGAAAAAAGTGAGCAAGGGCAAAAATTAAAAATAATTATTTAGTTATTGTTAAAAAATAATTTATCTCTTAATTTCTTCATTTGTAAAGCAGAAATAATTACATTTCTCATACAGTATTTTTGCACCAGTTACATAATAATGTATTTTAAATGCTTTGAACAATAAATACATAAGAATTTAGTTTTATATATTTAAATTTGATATAATATCAACAGTTATAAATTTAACACTAAGAATTTATCAAAACAAAGGGGCTGGAGAGATGGCTCAGAGGTTAAGAGCACTGGCTGTTCTTCTAGAGGTCCTGAGTTCAATTCCCACAACCACACGGTGGCTCACAGCTGTCTGTAGTGAGAGCTGGTACTCTCTTCTGGAGTGTAGGCAGACATGCAGACAGAACACTGTATACATAATAAATAAAATATTATTTTAAAAAAGATTTCTTCCTTAAAAAGAATTTATCAAAGTAAGTATTTAAGAAAAATTCTATATAATAATGCCACAGAATTAAGTTTCCAGGGTTTTTTTTTTTTTTTTGGAAGGGGTTCTACTTGTGATAGTAGAGAAAAATCTTTTAAAATGAAATTAAAAGTATATTTCCTATTCAGTTTTTACATATACCTCATTCTTTCTCCCCAGAATTACACAAAAAACTTGTCAGAAGAAATCAACAAAATGGAACAAAATGTTTATTTTATTAAGGTTTTAAAGTCAACAATTGATAATTCCCATGCTGTTATTTACTCTTTAAAAAAAAAGCCTACAAAATCACTTTTAATACCTAAGTTATGATAAGCCTAAAGATACAAACATAGATACAAGGCATAAAGATACAGTGGAATGTGATCTGTGGAGCATCCAAAGGACAGTGCCATCTTCCCACTTTATCCTTAATTAAGACACAGCTAAGTAAGTAACATAAGTAAACGTTAAAGATATTTCCTTTAGCTCTAAATTATTGTTTAAATGGAATATCTCATAAGCACCAATATTAACTAAGAAGAAATCAACTTCTTTTTCCTTTTTTTTAAGATAGGGTCTCACCACATATAGATTAGACTGGCCTTGAACCCACAGAGACCTGCCTCCCTCTGCTTCCCGAGTTCTGGGATTAAAGGTGTTTATGCCTAGCTCCAATGAATCATTTCTTTTAAAACTTTGTTTCATAAGGATACATTACCTACTGGTTCCTCTTATAATGACTGATACATTGTCCAGTCATTTCAACTTTCCACCTTCAACTATAACCTTTCATTAATAACAATTTACAAATTCAAATGAACTACAATGGGAAATTCTGAATTTGTTGCAGTGAGATTTTAATTTCATTTTCTCCCTACGCATGTATTTGAAAGTTTATTAACAAGTGATTCCTGAATTTGGAAAGGCTAAACAGGATTGCAATGAGTTCAAGGCTGGCCTGGGCCACAGCGAGCTTTAGGCAGTGGTATGTTTTGTCCCCAGCTGAGAAATGTCTGGAACTGTTTAGGGAGGACTAGGTCTGTCCTTGTTAAAGCAGGAGTGTGGCTTGCTGGAAGGAGGACTGTCACTAGGAGTGGGCTTTGAAGTTTCAAAAGCCCCCCCAGGCCCAGTCTCTCTCTCTGCCTGCTGCCTGTGGGAGGATGAGGATATAAAGACCTCAGCTACTGCTCCAGTGCCATGATGACAATGGACTAAAAGCAAGTGGAAACTAAAAGCAAGTCCCCAATTAAATGTTTTCTTTGTAAGAGCTGCCTTGGTCACGGTGTCTCTCCATAGCAATAGAACAATCTTAAATGGTGTATCAAAAAACGTTATGATTACAAACTGTGAATCATCTTATTTAAAAAATTTAAATATGCATTTAATTTGCTATGTAAGTCATGCAAACAATTAAAATGAGTTAGTCTTTTTGCAACTGAATTCATATAACTTATTAGCTTACTTATAATATATTGCACTGACTTTATTTCTGAGAATTTATATTCAACTATCCAGCATTTTATTGTTGCAGGAGAACTGTTCCTAAAGCCATTCCACTGTGCCAACAAAGCCACCTTGAATCAAAAAATGGGAGTCAGCAACTGACTGACCAGTATTAGCCATAAAGTTCTTGGAGGACCAAGGAGGTCTTGCTAGAGAGGACAGGAAGAAAAGATTTCCGGGGTGGGGGTGGGTGCCTGGAGCTGGTGGTTGGGGAAAACCGTGGAGAGAAGGTCATCCAATGAACTCTCCACTGTCCTTGGACTTATCAGGTCTTTATCTCAACTTCTGATTCCCAAGTTTTTATTACAATGGAACAATTTAGATATTTGTTACATCTGTTGCCCCACATTGGGTACAATGTGTACTGAGTCTTTCTCGGTCCACTCGTCAGCTCCCAATTCATGACACAGAGACTTATTAATTATAAAAGCTCGGCCTTAGCTTAGGCTTGTTTCTAACTAGATCTTATAACTTAAATTAGCCCATTTCTATTATCTACGTGCTGCCATGTGGCTCTGTGGCTTTGACCTCTCTTCTGCATGTTTTGCTTCCTCTGCAGCACCAGGCTGGAGACTCCCTTCTTCTTCTCAGAGCACTCTCTCCTGGAAGTCCTATCTCTTGCCTAGTTACTTGCCTTAGTTCTTTATTAAATCAATCACAGTGACCTATCTTTACACAGTGTAATTAAATATCTCATAACATTTTATTTTCTAGAAAGAAGGAAAGTAACCAAGAGGAAAATCCCTTAGGTTAATGTTAGCTGTAAATACTTCTCTATACAATTAAATAAACACACAAATAAAACAAGGCCCTACAATTTTGTTTTTTCCATCTCACAAAATAAATCTAAATCACACAGAGGGCCCTTACCTTTGTGGAGAGGAAAAAGGTTGCTTCTTCAAGGCCTGCATAAGGTTGGGCTTATATTCTGGATCAACACACCATAAGGAACCTTTTCCATTAACCTAGAAAAAAGTGTGCAAGAATAGCCTGGAATTTTTATGTATCACAATTTATCAGATTGCTCTGAGTAAGTATATGGGGAAAGCCCTCCCACCTTTGAGTACATGCCAAGGCTGAAGTGAAGGCTTGTGCCTGCTGCTAGACGCTGATCTGCTGTAAAACCCACACCTGCTTCCCCAACGCCCCGCCCCCCAAAGTGGAAGTGAGCCTGCTATACACGACTGATTGCGTCACACGAAATACATAGAGCTTGTTCTAACCACACGATGAGAGAGGTTCAAACTCATCTACACCCAGGCTTATATAATGCTTAAACTTATTTATTTATGAGAGAGAGACAAGCCATGAGTGTGGGATGGAGGAAAACTTGCAGGAATCAGTCCTCTCCTTCTAAGCCATCTCATTGATCCTATGCTTTTTATATTACCAAAAAAAAAAAAAAAAAAAAAAATCAAACTTTACAACTACATTAATAATTCTTTGAAAAACAATTAAATTTACTTATTTCCTTTCCCAATACTTCCATGTATAATATCTTGCATGATGTAAAGCTTAATGCAATTATCTCCACATTGCTTCCATTTCCTAAATTCTTTGTCAAGGCAATATTAGTCTACCATTGAGATCTTTTATCTTTGAATCCTGTTTCATTTTTATAAAATGGCATGATGAAAAAATATTGTTCCACAAGTTTAAAAACTAAGATCTGAGGCTGGAGGGATGGTTCAGCAGCTAATAGTACACTGTACTGCTCTGCAGAAGACTCAGGTTTGATTCCCAGCACCCATACCAGAGGGCTCACACCACATATAACTGTGGTTCTGGGGGATCTGCTGCCCTCTTTGACCTCTGTTGATACTCACACACAAGTACACATACTCACACAGACTTAGACACATGATATGTAATTAAAAAATCTTAAAACCCAAGTTCTTCATTACTACTTACTGCCTGATCATATGAAACTGGACAAATCATTCAATGTGGAGTTGGACATTTCACAATTTACCATAAAATAAAAGATCCAAGTGAGTTGCAATGAGGTTCAAATAAAGTGATTCATATCCAAGTGACACAGTTCAAAATAAATGAACATTAACTGGCTATTTTGAAATTGACATGGGGTGTTTATGGAATGCTAGTTGAAGGGGGTTAATAATACCAACAATAGAGCTGGGCAGTGGTGGTGCATGCATTTAATCCCAGCACTCAGGAGACAGAGAGGCAGGATCTCTGTGAGTTCAAGGCCTGTCTGGTCTACAGAGTGAGTTCCAGGACAGTCAAGGTTACACTGAGAGACTTTGTTTCAAAAAACCCAAAACAACAACAACAAACCAGTAAGAACAAAAGTAAATGTTTAGGTGATAAGCAGTAAGGGATAAACTAACTTGGGGGGAGAGCTTTTTATCTGTGGAAAAGCCATCCACTGAGAACAAACCAGTTTTAAACACCCTGGCAAAAGAGACAGACGTGCAGATAAAGGAAAACTGAGCAAGTCTTTTAACAGCCACACAGGGAGGAATGGGCTGAGACATCTCTGCATTCAGTGAAAAGGCACCACAGAAAGCATTAGGGCTAGGCAGGGGCAAGAGGACTGTCTCAAGTTCGAGGCTAGCCTGGTCTACATAGTGAGTTTTGTCCTAGCCAGCACTATATAATTTACTTACACACACACACACACACACACACACACACACACACACACACACACAAATAACAGAAAAAATTCAAGCAACTGACAAGTTTTTCCAAGAAATGCTAAAATTTGCAAATGTATTTTTAGATTAAGTGATAAAAACTAATTTGGATCTTTGTTCAGTCATTTAGACAAAATGATATGTTTTGACAATTGGAAATAAAACTGTCAACACACATCTTTTTTTCCAATTAGGTTTCATATATACAAGTAATTTTTCATACTTTGACCAAGACAAGTCTATCAATAACTACCCATGTTCTATTTTGGTATTCCAGAGATATCTCCTACAAACTGGTTTAAGTCTTGTTTAAAATTCTATAGGAGGAAGTCTGAAAGTTTTGTTGTTGGTTTTTTTTTTTTTTTTGATCACAGTAGAAAAAGCTATTTCTTTGAAACAGCACACTGTAAAAACTGAGAACTTGCAGTTTCAGTACAGTTTCAAATAACAGTCTGGCTTATGTTGCCATGGCAGCATTTCCTTCCACTGGTCTGTTCCTGAGCCACCAGTAACAAGAGATAAACTATGTATTTGCTCATCTATATTCCAGAGTCTGAAAAAAGAATTTTTAACTAACTCTCACTTAAACTCTGGTTAGTGATAACCATAATGATAAAAGTGTTAGAAATACTATTCTAAAATGAAACTTGCTGATAAGAAATAGACTGGGAAACAGAAAATAAGCATTCTCTCATTTATTATCATGAATTTTAAAACTTAAGATTGGTAGAAAAACCACTGAAGGTTTTGTAGAAAGGAATATATTAAGGGCTAAACTGCAAAGATTCATCTTAATAAAAGTTTAAATAACAAATTCAGAGAAGACACAATATTACTATGTCTGAAATGTTATGTTCTTGTCTAATACATTTTAAAAGTTCTGTCTTGTCTAATACCTTCATATATATGTAGAATCACCAAATTACAAAACATTAAAACTGTAACTAGACTAGCAAAAATTTAAGTCTGTATTTATAGACTAAAAATCACAGTCATAATGTCCACTTACATTCCACAAAAATTCAGAAAAACAGTACTGGATGTTGGCTGGGAACGTAACTCAGTGGTGGACGCCTGCCATGCATATGCAATGGCCATTAAGTCTGATCCCCAGACCTGGAAAAAAGGCCTTAAGCCTTTAGACCCTTTTTCTGAAGTGGTGTGGATAATTCAAAGGGGACAGAAGGTAGACAGACCTTGCCTTCCTCCTGTGGGGAGAAACCTCATCTCTAAATTCCATCCATTCAGGCACCAAATTCAACAGGGGCAAAGGAAAATACATTCTGAGACACCCACTCAAAAGGTTCATACATTTAAACAAAACAAAACAAAAACACCTAGCTGTGGGGTGCAAACTGCAATCCTAACACTTGAGGTGGTGGTGGGACACCGGGAGTTCAAGATCATCTTTAGCTGCCTATCAAGTTCCACTGGAAGCCAGCCTGAGCTACATTAAGACCTGCCCCCAAGCAAATAAATCAATAAATCCATAAGCACTTTCCTCTGCCCCTAAAAGGAATAACTCTCCTAAGTCTCAAACTATCAAGCACAGTGTTGTAGTTTTCATCAACATCAAGCTGTTTCCTCTGGGGTTGAAACATTCCATCCTGCAGGGGAGCTCAAGACAGAAAGAAAGGAAACAACTCAAAACAGCTTCAGGAAGTCCTTGAAAGATACAGATTTACTAGGCTCCTCTTTCCCAGAGTAAACATAATTCTGAGAGTCACTCTCCCCATACATGACAAGCTACAAAGACCTTGCAGAAACCAACCAAGTCCATGAAAGCAGCAGAGACCACTGAGCTTTCCTGAGGAGGTAGGGACCACTGAGCTGCCTGAGGAGGTGGGGACCACTGAGCTGCCCTGGGAGTTCTTTAATGTCCGGAACTCATCGTTTTACAATTTAGAATTCCCTCAACCACCTGAAGTGACATGAGGCTACTGTGAGCTAACTTCATGAAGTTACATATCTGGCTCTTGGAACATCTGATTCAAATTACCCACGCCAACTCCTCTGTGTGTGTGTGTGTACTATGTATGTATGTGTGTGTGTGTGTGTGTGTGTGTGTGTGTGTGTGTGTGTGTGTGTATGCACATATATATAAATAAAAGATGACCCAAAACACTAAACTAATAAGACAACAATGAAAAAAAAGTTTTAAAAAAAAAAAAGGTTTAAAAAGTCAATGGTTGCCAGACAGTGGTGGCACACGCCTTTAATCCCAGCACTGGGAGGCAGAAGCAGTGGGTCTCTGAATTCAAGGCCAGCCTGGTCTACAGAGCGAGTTCTAGGATAGCCAGGGCTACGCAGAGAAAGCCTGTCTTGAAATACTGCCTGCCCCCCGCCCCCAAAAGGTAATTGTAAAGAAAAAGAATCCAGGGCTGGAGAGATGGCTCAGAGGTTAAGAGCACTTGCTTGTTCTTCCAAAGGTCCTGAGTTCAATTCCCAGCAACCACATGGTGGCTCACAACCATCTGTAATGAGATCTGATGCCCTCTTCCGGCTTGCAGGGATATGTGCAGACAGAACACTGTATACATAATAAATAAATAAATCTTAAAAAAAAAAAAGAAAAAGAAAAAGAATCCAGGCAAGTATGAACATGGTATTATGCAAATCAAGGAAAAATAAATTTCTAAAGCTATTATTACCATTTACACACACACACACACACACACACACACATATATATGTGCATTTCAATTGATGAGAAATGAAGATCTAAACTAGGATCCTTGAGAATTTATAGGTCATTTATTTCCTAGATTCTAACTTGATTTTTGCAGGCAATGGTCAAATGACTTTACCTAGCTGGGTCTCATTTTCCCGGTTATGAAGTAAGAGACTTCAGCAGGCTAATGTATAAACCCCTTTCAAATTTTATATCCAAGTAAGTAGGCATCATAAAGAAAAACATCAAACTTAGAATCTTGGATCCTAGAAGAGGGAGGCATAAAGTTCAACTTACATAAATGTCAACGTAACTCTAGATTAAATAATTAGCTGTAAATTAAGTCTGGCTTTAGGAGACAAACTTGAGTCATGAGCAACCAGATGCTAAGTGAAGCACTGGGAATGGATAAGATTACCCAAGAAAACACTAAACTAAAAAGACGACAGTGAAAACAGTTTTTAAAACAGGTTTAAAAAGCTAATGGTAAAGAAAACGAATCCAGGCAAGTCTGAACATGGTATTACGTATTCTGTAAATCAAGGAAAATGAATTTCTCAAGCTAGTCTTACCTTACAACACAATGTCTAACCAGGTCAGCAGAGTCATGAGGCAGGTGTTAGACTGTTCAAACCTGCATCTTTATTGAAACTATGTCCATGTGCAGTACTAAGTGTGATCCTCCTTTGACAGGGAATGGAGACATGTTTAGGAAAACAACGTACATATCACAAATGAAATGAAGGAAAACCTCAGAACTGAAGCCTAAGTAACTGATTATGACATTTACTAACCTTCACATCCATTGTACCTTTCCACTCTGCCTGCCTGCCTGCATTTCTCACTCAGACAGAATATACTATTGCCTTTATATAACTTCTATAGCTACAGAAAATTATTATTATTATTATTATTATTGTTGTTTGTTTGTTTCTTTTGAGACAGGGTTTCTCTGTGTAGCTTTGGAGTCTGTCCTGGAACTCGCTTTGTAGACCAGGCTGGCCTAGAACTCAGAGATCTACCTGCCTCTGCCTCCCAAGTGCTGGGAGGAAACTTATTTTTTAAAGCACCATTTAAAAAGCAAATTTAAAAACATAGAACAGAAAAAAAGCAAACTAAAAATAACTCCCGTCATATTCTTTAATGTAAATGAGCTACAGTTTCATTATGAGGTAGATTTTTATACTGAATAAATAGGATATATACTGATCTAGTTGTATAAATTAGGGGGAATCCACCCCATGGGACTAGAGAGATGGAACCAAGGTTAAAAGCTTGCATGGTCCCTCCAGAGAACCCAGGTTCAGTTCCTAGCCCCCCATTAGGCAGTTCACAGACGCCTTTAATTCTAGCTCTGGAGAACCCAACATCCTATTGTGACTTCTGAAGACACTGTACTCGTGCCCAAACCAGAAACACACACAATCAAATAAAATCTTTTACAATGAGACACACCCTCTCAAAAGGAGAAACAAACGACTTGGTGGTCTAGATATACAGCCCAGTGGAGTGCTTGCCGATCACAGCAGTTTCAACTCCTGGTCGGGCGGGTGGTGGACAATGGCGTGAGGAAGGAGCACTGGGAAGAATCATCCAGGTGCCAAGGCAGACTGAATGTCATGCTAGTAAAAATGTCTCAACACTAAAACACTTTACAGCATCAGAAATGAAAGCAAATGATAAGTGTAATTAGTCCCAAACTAATCTGACTTGGCCTCGCTTCCGTGGTTCCCCTGTATCGTAAGGGCCTGTATTACTCCCCCACCACACAGAGCAATGCTGATAAATACTGACCTTGCCATGGCTCCTCTCCACTTTCTGAAAACACTTATTCAGGGACAGGTTATGCCGAACAGAATTCTTCCAGCCTGTGGGTGCAGTGGCAAAGTACGGGAAGCGGTCCAGAATCCAGCTATAAATTTCTTTGACAGGCAAACATTTATTTGGAGAGTGTTCAATAGCCATATAAATGAGAAGACTAAAGGAGTACGGGGGCTTTGAAGTTGCTGACTTTTTTTCTGGGTTCTGGTAGCAGGACGGTCCGAAGGCCGGCAGATCATCCCCCTCTATGTCATACAACGGGCTAACCATTGGGAGACCTTCACTCCCAAGCCTGAAGTTGGTTAGAAGATTACTACTTTCATGAAGCCAGTTCAAGTTTGTCAGTTCGTCATCCGCCGAGTCACTGCCCACTAGGGTGGCCTTTGGCCTCGCAGCATCCCCGACTTCAGGCAAGCTTCCCATTTTGTAAATCTGACTTAGTCCTGCAACCTTCTCGGCTCCTGGGGTCTCAGCTCTCTTATCTGGAGTCATTCCAATTACTGGACCCATTTACTCGTATAGTTCTGCAAAAAGAAAAGAAGTTACCAATTAATATAAATCTTAAACTCTGGAAAAAGCAAATGAACATTTACATATACACATCCAAATCAAGAAAAATTTGCAATTGACTATGCCATACAAATAATAAATAACATATTTAGGATTTTCTTTTTTCTTTTTTGAGACAGGGTCTCTCTTTGTAGCCCTGGCTGTCCTCAAATTCAGAGATTCCCCCTGCCTCTGCCTCCTGTGTACGGGGATTAAGGTGTGTACCACCATGCCCAGCTCCTCATATAATACTGTATATTTAAATACAATACAGTTTTGACAGTTATAATGCATACAAAGAAGTAGTTGCTTAATATTATTTGAAACAATAAACATTAAATAAAACATAACTTGACAGCATCACATGTATTAGTGATAATAAAAAATACAACAATATAGCATCAATAGAAAAGTTCCCAGTCCATAACAACCAGTAGTAGCTCTTACTAAACATAATGGGGCTGGTGAGATGGCCTGCCAGATAGAGTACTTACTCCAGGTCTGACAACCTAAGTCCAACTCTGAGAGCCCATCAGGTAGAAGAAGAAAACCAATGCCTAGAAGTTGCCTTTGGACCTCCACAAGCACACAGGGGCAAGTATTATACAACTGTTCTCATATATAACTAAACTATGAACAGACTATGTCATGACTTTATAATTTATCCTAAGTATCTGTATTTTACTGTAATAATCATACATAGTGCTCAATCTTTAAAATACTAAAATTTGAAACAATGTTTAAACAATTCCAAGTAAATCTCCAAATCTTAAATATTTACCTTAAAAAATAAATCATTTCTAGGACTAGAGAGATGGCTCAGTATAAGAGCACTTGTTGCTCTCTCAGAGGGTCTGGGTTCAATTCCCAGCACTCACATAGCAGCTCACAATCATCCATAACTCCAGTTACAGAGGATCCAATGCCCTCTTCTAACTTCCATGGATACTAGGAATATAGTACACATACACGCAAGCAAAACATTCATACACATAATATTTTTAAAAGCAAACTAGTTTTGTTTTTATATATTATACTAAGAAAAAAACATTTCCTTTCAAATTATTTTTAATTGACACAGAATACAAACTTGCACATGTATACATTGTGAATGATGAAAACAGGCAAATTAGCTGAGCGTGGTGCATTCCTGTAATCTCACCATTCAGGAGGAAGGGGCAGGACGATAACTCCAGGTTCAAGGCAAGCTTGGTCTACATAGCAAGTTATAGGTTAGCCACTGTGGTAGCTGGAATGAAATCAGCTCCCATAAGGTCATATGGAGTGACCCTATTAGGAGGCGTGGCTTTCTTGGAGTAGGTGTGGCCTTGTTGAAGGAAGTATGTCACTGTAGAGGTGGGCTTTGAGGTCTCATATATACTTAAGCTACGCCCAGTATTCAGACCACTTCCTGTTGCCTGAACAAAATGTAGAACTCTCAGTTACCTCTCCAGCACCATGTCTGCCTGCACACCACCATGCCCCACCATGATGATGAATGAACTGAACCTCTGAACTGTAAACCAGACACCACAATGAAATGTTTTCTTTTATATGAATTGCCGTGGTCACTGTGTCTCTTCACAGTAATAGAAACCCAAACTAAGACAGCCAGGACTATGTAATAAAACCCTGATACAGCGCGCGCGCGCGCGCACACACACACACACACACACACACACACACACACACACCAACATAAAGAAAACAAATCACCTCACGTATTTATTCTCTATGGTAAGAACCTATTTAACACTTACTACTGTTTTAGCAGTTTTTATATTAGCAGTTTTAGCTGTTTATATTTTTATTAACGACAGTCCCTGTGCTGTATGAGAGAACAAGAGCTTACTCCTGTGTAACTACAACTCTGCATCCTCTGCTAATATTCCCGTCCCTTCTCCTGCTACAGTACCCGGGAACCACCACTTATTTTCTTCTGCAAGTTCAACAAAGTAACATTTCTTATTTCCTAAATTTACTAAAAACCTGGTATTTTAACTGCATTCTGAATCCTCCCACCCTCAGCGTGCCCCATCACTGACATTGTCATAGGAAGTCTGAACTGCCACTATCTTAATCATGAAGCTGCTTCTCAACTATCCTCTGGCACGTCTAGTTTCTCAAATGATTTTTGTTTTGTTTTGTTTTTATATATATACTTAAAAAATTACTCCTCCCTGAGCATAAATGACCAGAGGGAAGTAAAAGAACTAATGTGCTGTTTAACTCATTTTTGTGTACATAAAGATGTCTCGTTTCTAAAGCCAGCAAAAGCCTACACCTATCCGTGTGGTTCAGGGTCGGCTAACTGAAATGGGGAGAAGTCCCTGCAGGGCTCCACTCTGCTTAACGCAGTCACAGGCTACTTCAAGAATACGACGGAACTTGTCTATGTGGATCCTGGGAGTCACTACTTCAAGAATACGGAACTTGTCTATGTGGATCCTGGGAGTCACTACTTCAAGAATACGGAACTTGTCTGTTTGGATCCTGGGAGTCACTACTAAATTCCTCAGTGATAACCTCAGCCGATGTGTCCAGGGCCAGACATTATACTAAACACCCTGCATGCTATGTGTCAGCTACCCATCAATTAAAGTTGAGACAACTGCAAACCTTATTTTATAGATGAGGAAAAGGACTCAGGCTAAGCATTCTGGCTATTATGCAAAAACAGACTGAACACCCATGCAGGCAAACTCAGAACCCAAACTCCAACCACTATATACAATGGTAACAGTATATAAACATCACCTATGGGTACCAATCCCCTCACCCTGGTATCTAGTTTGTCTTTCCTGCTGACTCAGAGTCAAGAAACTTCAATACAGCTGACACAAGCCAAACTTGTATAGAGATAATAGGAAGTTTTCCTAAAAACATCTCAAACAAGAGTGCTAAAATACAAGTGAACTCTGCTTACTCAAGGCCAGAACCTATGTGGCATCGACCTTTTTAGTGCTGGAATTACAGGCTTACTCCTGCTGTAACGCCTGGTTTCTGAGGTGCTGGGGAAGGAGCCCAGAGCTTTGGGCAAGCGAGGCAAGCACTCCATCAAATAAGTCACATCCCCAAGTATTTGTAGCCTCAACTTTCATATCAACAATCCTCTCTCATTCTTAAAACCATAACAAGATAAAAATCAACTTACAAATTAATTTACAAAGAATATTCTGAAAGAAAAATTGTAAATTGGCCCATACATTTCTATTTCTATCTAAACTTCAAGTTCTAAGCTTTGATTAATCTTAAACCTTGTTATAAATTACAGAATGGGAGCCACAGGATCACATGAGTAGGCAATTGTCAAGACACCTAAAAGTGACTCTCTTAAGATGCCTCTCGCCGGGCGTTGGTGGCGCACGCCTTTAATCCCAGCACTCAGGAGGCAGAGCCAGGCGGATCTCTGTGAGTTCGAGGCCAGCCTGAGCTACCAAGTGAGCTCCAGGAAAGGCGCAAAGCTACACAGAGAAACCCTGTCTCGAAAAACAAAAAACAAAAAACAACAAAAAAAGATGCCTCTCATGTTCTGGGGCTGTTGACTGCCTCCTCCTCACCCCACATCTGTCTTAATAGTTAATGAACTACTGGTAACTATTGGTAACTATTGGTACAGGCTGACTTCCTACATCTGAGAACACACTCGCTCTGTTTCACTCCGGCTCTCCCGCAAGCTTTCCTGCAGCGCAGTCATCGTGAGCCTTTACCTGGGTGGAGGTCGTCAGCAGATTAGGAACTCCCTGGGCTGCTGTTAGCGGTGATGGGCTGTGCCTCTTTGCTACAGGTAACACACGTGCATTAATGTGACAGGCACTCAAAAATCACAATCTCTTGACTAAATATTCTCAGAAACCAATTTAGAGGGGGCAAATATGGTTTTCTTTTAAAGTACATTTATAGAAATTCCTTTATTAGGTCCTTTTTTGGTTCTTCAACACGATGTCTGGTATTCACATTCTACTGTGGCATGTGTGTCCCTCCAACCTGTCACAATGTTGGCATGTTACCACGTGGACATGATCTTGGAGTAGAGTATAAACAGGAGCCAGTGTGCTCTAGCATTCCAGGAAGTGCAGCAAGCAGAGCTGAGAACGCAAGGGTGACCCTGCAGAGTAGCGTTTTCTTAGCAAGACTGGCAGTCATATTTTCAAGGAGAAAGGAAGAACTCTTTTAAACTATCATTTTAGAGCAGTCACAACCACTCCCTATCCAAGCACTAAGTCTGCCACAGCAGATAAAGTAAGTGTCAACAGCAAAAATGTGAGACAATATTAGACTTCATTAGCAATCAAGGAAATAAAGAAAAAAAAATCTGATGTTAAATATTATGTGGCACAGTCCATGGTATGTAGCAAACAAAGATATTAGTGATTAAAAAAAAATTATTTCTGTCCAAAAATATACAAAATTATATTATATACAATTATAACCCCCTACAACCTTCCCTCTTCCTCCTCCACCCCCACAAATATCCAAAGAATCATTAAAGATTGGAAAACTACTAACTTACATATCCTGCAATAGAGGAATTGCCAAGTTACCTATTCAGTCTACTATTCAGAAGCCACTAAAATTGACTGTATAAAACAATAACTGAAATAAACAAAAGAACTTGTAAAAACTGGAGAGAAGTATATTTTAAAAGCTGTTTATACTACAAACTTGGTAATGGCCTTTGTTAGTCTTTTTGGATTTTCTTTTATGTATTTATTTTTATAGTTTAAACTTAAGCTCAAAGTTCTTGAGGAAAATGCTATGCTAGATTATTTCTAGTTTTAGTAGTTTCACATCTTTTTCACATGAACAAACACACACACACACACACACACACACACACACACACACACACATACACACACACGGTCAATTTATGGACTTAACAGAAAACTCAAGGCCAAAACAAAACCCACCTCTTACACGATTAGACTAGCCTATCCTATCACAAAGCTTTTTCTAGAACATGAATTAGTTCATCAATTAATAGATGATTTTTCTGTTTTGGAATTATTAAAAAGATTCTACTAAGTACGCCTCTCCCTCATCACCCAATGGCAGCCATGACCGCAGGACTTCTCAGAAGGGTACGCAATAGCTGTCTCCCCTCTTCCTCATAACGCAACACTCACTTCCTCATTCTGTCTGGTTCACCCACTGCACTCACCATGGGGCTCTGCCAATCATATCACCTAACGGAATCCTTCTTCTCATCTCTGGGATTTAAGCAATTTCAAGCAATTTCAATCTCAGGACTTTCAGCATTTTGTTATTAATGTCTTAACAGCTCTGCCCGGTGCCAACATTCTCAGACAGAAAAGAACTTTTTAACAAGAGGCTGCAGAGACAGCTCAGTGTTAAGAGCACCTGCTGCTTGTGCTGATCAGGTTCAGTTCCTAAAACCCACATGGTGGCTCACAACCACCTGTAGCTCCAGCTGCAGGTACACACACACACACACACACACACACACACACACACACACACACACACACACACCCCATGATGGCAAATATTTATACATACAAGTCTTTAAAAAAAGACAACCTAGGAAATTTAGAAAAAAATGTTGAGTTTTTACCACTTCAGTAACATAAGAAGATAAAGCAACAAATACAATATAAAATGAAAACAGTTATATAAAAATGTAGTTATATTCATTCATATTCAACTCAGAATTTACTGTCCTCTTTCAGAATTTGTATCAAGTAAAAAAAATCCATCTATTATCAAGATAATTATGGCTGGGTATGGTGGCATACACTTTGTCTTTAATGTCAGCAGTTGGGAGGTAGAGGCAGGAGGATCTCTGTGAGTTCAAGCTAGCTGCTCCCTCTGCGGATCATGACATAGCTCTCAACTACTTCTCCAGTACCCTGCCTGCATGTAGCCAGGCCTCCTGCCATGATGATAAAGAACCTCTGAAACTGTAAGAAGCCCCCAATTAAATGATTTCCCTTATAAGAGTTGCCTTGGTCATGGTGTCTCTTCACAGCAATACAACACTGACTAAGAAAGGGACCAAAAGATGTCCCAACTTTTCCTACAGATTTACATCATATTCTTTAAGGTTCTCCATTACAAATAGTGCCCATTCCAAAACACCCAATTCTGGGATTAGACAGATTTAAAATCCCAAATGCAGTGCTGGAGTGCAGTTGCTAAGAGAATTTACAGCTCTTGCAGAAGACTGGGTTTGGATCACTACACTCACATGGCATCTCACAACCACCTGTAACTCCAGTTCCAGGGGACCCAGTGTCCTCTTTTGATCTTCTCAGGCTCCTGAATGCATGTGGTATAATATACACACTCAGGTATACACATCACATAGAATAAATAAAATAGATTTTTAAATCCCAAATGTACCGCACAAAAATGTACATCTGATCATAATGCTACACAATGTCATGTACCCAGGACAACTGAGGGATTAAACTGCCTCTTGGTCAGATTTAGGTGACACAGCATGTGATCCGTTGTCTCTGAACAACAACAAAAATGTGTGCAGCTGCATTTTCTGGTGAAGAGGAGACAGAGTTCTCATGGAGAAACTGCTTCTGAAATGAGGGTAAAAGAAATAAAACTGAGTGGGAAAAAAAATACCTTTCAACAATGCTAAAAGCAGAAACCACTAAAACTGAAAAAGAAAAGGTTGTAGGGCTACTTCTCTCTAAGTCCACTTTCTCTCTCCCAACTCACCCAGGTACATTTTGTAACCTGAGTTTATATTTCACATCTATGTAAATAATTTGCACACAGTATGGTATTCTATACATTGTTTCAGCATATCTCCAAAACTATGTGATAGTTTCTTGGGGAAGTTAAAAAGATGCATTATTTGATAAGGTAAAACATGAAACACCTCTAACAAATAAACAGCAAGCCAACCTATTATTTTCTGTATAAAAACAATGAAAGATTTTTTTTAAAGAAAGGGAGGGAGGGCGGGCGGGCGCCCGCCTGGACTTTGGAGTCCCTCCTTCATGTCAGTGAGCACCTACCTACTTGAGCTTTTGTTACGTTAGCTGAAGTATCCTTGCTAAAACTGGGGACAGCAGCCTGGAAACTTGAGGACCCAGGAATGTGCGATGACCGAGTATGAATAGGACGATTTTCCTTTTCTGTAGAACCTTGAAGTCTACCCAGTTGGTCATTCTTTTAAATGACATCTATCAAATTGCTAAATTATGTTGGTACACCACAGTGCTACACGCATTTCTCTCATTTATGTCTTGGACATCTCTTTAACTAACTGGTAAGTTCTGTTGAAGAACTCACCTTTCACACTAAAGCTCCTAGTTTAAAATTCAGGACTACTAGGGAAAAAAAAATACATGTATTTTTCTATGGGCTGACTCGTTCTTTAAATCCAAGGGCAAATTTTATCAGTGAAGTTTTATGTATTTAATGACTTCAAAGTTAGTTTCAAATCCATAAACAGAATAAGAAACTGTTAGGCATCAGTATGGTTAATAAATATTCTTAAAATATAGGGGCTAGAGAGATGGCTTTGTGGATAAGAGCACTTGCTGTTCTTCCAGAGGACTCACATGATTGCAGCTCATAACCACCTATAACTCCAGTTACAGGCATCTGATGCCCTCTTCTGACTACAGAAGGTACCAGGTACACATGTGATACACAGACATACATATAGGCAAAACACCCATAAACATAAGGCAAAATTTTTAATTAAAATGTTCTAAAAATACAAACATTAGGAGCCATAAATATTACTAAGATCTATTTAAATGAGAGGGGGAAACCTGTAACATTTTGTTACAAGAAATCCCTGAATGACCCATAAATAATGACTTCAAAATACAATACCACAGAGGCCCAATTTGGTGGTATATGTCTTTAATCCCTTTAAATCCAGTACTCAGTAGGGAGAGGTGGGTAGATCTCTGTGAGTTCCAGGCCAGTCAGGCTACATAATGAGACCCTGCCATAAAAAACCAACGGTATCACAGGGCCAGAGAGATAGCTCAGCAGTTACACTGCTCCTGCAGATGACTGAGTCTGGCTCCCAGAACCCACACTGGGCAGCTTACAACTCCTTAACTCCAGCTTCAGGGGGATTCTATACCCTTTCCTGGTTTGTGCACAACCTCCTTCCCCCACATATACATGTACTTTAAAAAAGAACAAACAAAAATTTAGAATAAATACCACAAATATCTCAATTGCAATGTGCCTCCACCCAACCAAGAACGTGAATGTTTCTTTTTTTTTTTTTTTAAGTTGAAAACACAATTTGAAAATACTCTAAGTGTTTTATTACCTAGCCCTAGACCACCGAAACTGTAGTATATTTAGATGGACACTCCAATATACAGGAACTATGATAGTATGTCCCTAGATTACGTTTCCTTGCATTTCTGTGCTTCAAACTGTTCACAGCATACCTAACTCTAGCTAGCTGTTAGTTATCCTTAACATTTCCGCTCAGAAACTTTAAGAATGTTCCAACACCTAGATTTGGGAGAGACTCTTCTACTCTCCCACGATTAAATAAAATTCCCACACCTAAAATGGTTTAATGTACATCTTTCCAACAGTTCTGCTATTATGTTACTTTGGTAGCTGAGAAATGGTATGATTCAATTTTTCTAGAATAATCTATATAATAACAGAAACTGAAATTCAGGTGGTGCAGACTACCTTTTAACACAGCACTTAGGAGACCGAAGCAGAAGAGTTTAGGGTATGTCTACACAGCAAAGCAAGATGTTATCTTTAAACATACACACTCAAATTCAAATATTAACTGGCTTTCCTGTAGAGAAATGTATATGTGTGCATGTATTACAAGAGACTAAAAGAAGACTTGTTGATGCTCATTAATAGTAGGTATCGTTTTAAAATCTTTACTAAAACTAACTCACAAGCTCTGTAACAACCCTACCCGATAGTGACTACTACTGGGTTCTATTTTATATGTGGAAACAGACACAGGGCAGTCAAGTGGATGCAACTCCCTGAAGTGCGCTGCAGAGCCGTGCTCACTTCTGCCTGGG